TCACTGTTACTCAATAGCAGTAGTATACAATATAGTTCTATCTTTCCTCACGATTTCCTTTACAGTGATATACCTAAATAGTCGATTGGTTAGGTTAGGTTAACCTTTAACAATTAAGATGCACAGTTATTATTTCTTATCACTAGTTGTTTTTAAATTAAACATTATGGCAAATTCATGCCCCGTCGTATCACTTCAGTCTGACACAAATATTTGTAGACATCGATAAATCCAGTAAAACTTCGAAAATTCTTAAACTGATGACAGCTATATTTTATTTATCAACGGATAAACAAAAATAATAAAATAACTATTTTCATCTACCTGTATCGGTTTAATTTAGGTCGGGGGTGGAAAGTGCGTGCAGGGTAAAAGAATCCCTTAAGCCTCAAAAGTATATAATAATTCCGTTGATGTTTTAAGGTGGCTCGTTACGAGACGACCCTTTTGGCGGCACTTTATCCCCTACACGACCGGGAAACCAACATTTTCCGAGGGATCAATAACCCTCCCCCCCGTGGGCTAGTCAACTGGCGTTCTCACTAGGTTAATGTTTATCCGATTACCCCGTCCGGGTCTCGTTGTTTCCCACCGGAATTCTGAGTGAATTATCTTCCGGGGTTTGTTTTGCGCGCCCTCGCGGCGTCCACCACCACCGGAATCCCGGGACTTTCCGTATATAAGACTCTACGTAAGTCCTCCGATCCACTATCAACCCATCCGTGGCAAAATTGTATTTTCTCTCTCTCTCTCTCTCTCTCTACCAGATATATATTGTATTTTATAGTATTATATCAGACGTACTATTCAATATTGTCCTGATAAGGTCATCTGACCACCCAAAGACCCTCAAAAGTTGATTTTTTAGTATTCTTTGARATAAAATCGAACACTGGTAATTAATTATTATGCCTGTGTTGAATAAAATATATTTGTGTTTTAAAAGCCATTGTATCCACTAAACTTTAAGCTGTTGGCCCTGCACAGAATAAAGTCAACTGGCGTGATCATATAGATGTATCAATAAAACTTCCAGAATTAGAAATGAAATGTATACAGATCCGTAGACAAAGTAACGATGATCAGGAATTTTGACTATTACTTACTTAATCTCGTTTAATCTCTTACTTAATCTGATTACGAGAGTAACGGTAGTTGAATAAACAATAATATAGGAGAAWCGATAAAAAAAGAATATTGACAGAGAGTCGATTTTGAAATGAAAAATAATGAAATAATGTTTTGCATTTGATTTGATTTTATGTTTGTACAATTATAATTTAATAACTACACATAAATTTCATATAGTAATGAACATCTTATAACTTAATAATAAATCATTATCGTAAAATATACACGAAAAAACTATTTTTAGAAAGACATTTTTATACATGTGAACAAATTATTGTGTACACAAACAATTTTCGTGTGAAAAAAATATGACCACGAAATTATGTAATGTGAATTTAAGCATTTTTGGTTGACAACTTTCACATATCCGGAAGAATGTAGCAACGTAAATCAAATGACTCGTTGCTATAGGACTGAAAATTCAGACTAATTAATTTATAAAGTTTCACCATTCAATATGGTTAATATTTTCAAATAACATAAATCACACTATATAACAGCTGAAAGCTGCTTTATCGTTAATATACAATATTTCAACGATAATGCAACAAATATTAGCCAAAAATAGTTCACATGACATTGTTGATGGACATATTTTACACAACTTAATACGTTGTTCTGTCTACATTCTYATGATGAATGTTTAGATTTAAATCACTACACGTGTTTCTAGTTTCTATTAAGTTTTCTAAGCAGATCAACTGAAATTGTGTCAAAGGCTCAGAGCCATAGATAGAGGTTGTAAATGGTCTAATATTCGGGATCAAAAACATATGTACTTACAGGATTTCAGCCATTTTTTCTATAGGCTTTATTTTTAAATCCGATTTAAGCGTTTGTTTGGATTGTAAAATAAAGAATTTCTGATATCGGGTATACAGAGAGTTATTGATTGGATTTGAATTTTATAAGTGTTTGTTTGTTTGGCCTCACTCCATAATAGTATATCACGTCATGCTAAGATATACATTAGGATTATTTTAAGAGTATGTTTTGTTTTTGAAATTAAGTTCAAAAATGTATCATGTACCTTAATAATTTACGATATATATTTTACGTCTATAATTAAATAAGATACTTTTTTTTGTGTGTAGGAATCATCCAGGTTAGACGTAAGTCGGTCTAGCATTGAACCTAAATAACAAGCACAAGAAGACTGTTGTATCATTTTGATTATTTAATCTTTAAAAGTTAATAAAATATGCAGCACTACACTTGATCACAATATTTGTTGCTAACTGAGATTATTTATTCATTAATATACTCATAGGTAACCACTACCATTGAGTATACTATATTGTATACAATATAATATACTCAATGGCATTACTAATATTTGCGTTCTATTGTTACCCGTGGCCAATGGGGTACAGGTACAGTTGGGTATAAATTACGACCCATTTTCAAGTGAAATAATGTAAAGCGAATCAATGTTATCATTATTATTATGATAATATTATTATTTATATTTCAAAATAATGGTTAATAATAATTAATACCTGTGTAGCCTGTGAGGTAATTTTAATGACTTTTATAATGCATTTTACGCAAATAAATACCAACGTGTTATAGGTCACATTATATAGATGGTTAAGTAATGTTAGGTTTATATTGGATAACACAATATTATGTCATGATATTAATTATTTTACTAAACATTATTTTGGTATAATGTTCTTGAATTTATATTTGGTATTATGTATCCGTTACGTGAAATATAATTTAAGATAGGATTAACTTCAACTACGTGTGTCACTACTCACTATGGTTAAATTACTGTAGGTAATTAAGTATATATTTAACATATGAACTATTATAATTGGCATTAAAGTTTTTGATTRTAGTATTATGATGTTAAAATATTAATTTACAAAATATGTTTTAAATAAATGATATAAGTTCAAACCAATTCAACTTGAAACTGACATAAAATACACGTGTATATAAACATTCAACCAGTTCGGTTTCGAATGTCGTTATATGTATGTGTGTACGTCTGTCCATTAGCTGCAGTATGCTCACTGCTCTCTTTATCTATTCGTAACCCTCCTTCACTGCTTCGTCTATAATAATAATCAAGTTATTATGTCACCTCAACCTAGCGTGGTTTCTTCCAAAACTACAAACAAAAGAAATCTCTCTGCTCCCCCCCCCTCACCAAAGGCAGAAGAAAGAAAAAACCAAATTATTCACAAGACCAAATCGATTCTCCGCTCTCTCTAAGTGCGACGACGTCGGCTTGAACACATCTACAATCAAAGTYCAAATCCACAACAACGATGACAAAATAAAAGTATCGCATGTTTACATTTAAAATGTGGGTAACATATCCACCTTCATCTCTGGTCTTTTGACCAAAATTGACTACAGATTTYATTTTTGAATCTATGCCCTCCTATTTAATCGTCCGCACTCATTTTGTTGAACATAACAATCAGTTATTAACGAATTTAAAGGAGAATGATTATAGTTATCATTTATATCAGCCAGATTACATGCACCCGCTACGCTTAGTTATTCGAAATCTCCACCCAACTACTGCACTTGAAGACATCATCGCCGGCCTTTCAGAATTGGGCCACCACGTCACCAACATATATAACATTCAGCGATTTTGGGATAAAACGCCTTTCTAACTTTTCTTTGTTGATATCCAAAAAACTACCAACAATTCGGATGTATTCAAGATTGGGTTTCTTCTCAACTCAAAAATTATTTTTGAAAAACCACATTCACCAAAAAGCCCTCCACAGTGCTATACATGCCAGTCTTACGGTCATACTAGAAAATATTTTTATCATAATCCACGTTGTGTAAAATGTGGAGAAAACCACGTCTCGAGTTCCTGTACCAAGCCACRCGACTCTCCAGCCAGATGTGCTCTATGCAATGGCAGCCACACTGCCAACTACAAAGGTTGCCCCGATTACAAAAAATTTAGACGTGTTACTCCTCCAATTAGGCGAGATCCTCCCATACCTACTCCTTCACCAAAAAGCAATACTACCAAAACCTCTTTTTCTACCAATCAGCATTCTTATGATTAAGCCACCTCCTCTGGTCAAAACTATTCTAAGATTTCTTCAAGTATTGAAACTTAATTATCATCCTTCATTTCCGAAATTTTTAATATCATAAAACCCCTCCTCTCCCTCCTTACTTCACTTCTAAATAAAACTCTATTATCAACAATTTAAATATATCAAATCGTGTTAATCATGTTATATCTCTTTGCTTACTATCTGTTCATTACCTGTCTTTTAAATATTAATCATCTTATACTCTGTACATTCATATCTTATATATATATATATTTATATATAGACCTTAATGTCATTATATGTTCAAACTATCAATTTATTGTATGTTATGTCGTTATGATATTTAATACTCTATCTTTGTTTTGTTTTCGGCTATAATTGTATTTTACAATCGTTACATAATTGCTATTGTTGTATAATTATTGAGCTATAATAGTTATTTTAGAAGCTAAAATAATAATAATAATAATAAACATGTGCAATCTTTCTATTTAGGTACCTATTTTTTTTTCGTTTTTAAATTCAGATACAATTTAATTACAACTTTCAGGTAAGTTCAAGATATTGTATTTTCATATTTCATATTTCTATTTTATCATTAAATATAAAATAACCACAGTATGAAATACCATCCTGACAAATTAATAATGTAGGTATTAATATTAAATTATTCTCACTCAATAATACATAATATTAGTGTGTGCAATGTTTATAATAATTTCTTATGTAAGTATAATTTGGTTATCGAGTTCAATCATGTCATGGCGACTTCTTCGTAATATTAATTTAACTAAAAAGTAATTGATCTTAGTAAAACGTAGAACTTACCTTAATTTTCGGGAGTCTCTTATCGTTTCTATACCACGTAATTGACGCTGGTGGTCTGGATCCAGCAGAATGACACTGGATGTCGTATCTTCGGTCAGCTACCAAAACTTCGTCCATGGTAGAGAATGTTACCGTAAGCGGTGGAACTAAAATGTTTAACAAACGAAGAATCTGTTTTATTAAGATAATCTCATAAGATATGAGATTAATAAATAATTCCACATTCAACATATTTTCTGGAAATCGTTTTTCAATAGGTAGTTGATAATATGGTAATGGGATAAAGATATGGTTTTACACATTTGTTCAAGCAACAATTATTTAGCTATCTTAAATAAAAAATGTCTTCAATTTTATACTTAATAAATAACTTTTAGTTTGCATAAGTAGTTATGAAATTGTTCTTATTAATATATTTTATATGACAACGTTTGGATTGTTGTTGGTATGCAACAACTGATAAACATTTTCTTGGTAGGGTAGAATTTGGAGGTGTTTTTATATTTCTAAAACCAAAAATAAAATATTCATGAATCCCGTCAAAAACAATTTTAGGGGGAGAAAACAAAAAAACTAGCAACGACCCTACAAGCACGGTAGTGTGTAGTATTATCTGCTTGATGCTTCATGTGAAAAAATTTAWGTTTAATTATTTAACTTTACCATACTCTAACAGTATTACCTATAATTATTTGATAATTTACACTGTAATTGGTACTTAATATTTACATAAAATTCCATATTAGAATTACATGAAATCTATAAATTTAATATTCGATGATATTTTATTTATAATAAATTAGAAATATTTGAAAAGCGGAACAAGTTTATTATAAACTATAATWATTATTATAAATTATTAAATTTCCATTATGATATACGAATATTGATTAAATAGTAGTTGTTAAGTAAATATATCTAATAATTAAAATGCTTAGTATTTAAAAATAATTTTAACTTTGTAAATTTAAAATCCCTATATTTAATTAATAGATGCACTTATTTTCATAAAAAAAATGTTCCAAGGAAACTATATAATATCTTACATGAATTTCAGAAAATTTACGTCAGGACAATATAATCATCACAATTTATTTTTATATATAATTAATTAATTAATTTTTAATCCACTAACGTTTAGAAAAAAAATTTAACCATGGTTTATTTTGATAATTTTTTTATTGAATTTTTCTTATGTCTTTTAAGTTTTTAAAGGAAAATAAATGTAAATTTTTCTCGGTTTCCGATATAATTATAATCCACAGAATTATACCTACTTGGCTACTTATATTAAATCATATTCTATTACATTTAYTGTTCAAATAAAAATCATATATTATTTAAATTGATAATGAATCTGTCATTGCATGGTATACTGGATGAATAAAATACTGATTGAGTAGGTGATTCAAAAGACATATAATATACGGTAACATATTATATATTTTATAATATAAATATAGTGCGTTTGCGTCGGATAAGAAGAATAATTTCCCCCGTAGGATCCATCTGCACGAGACGTATATGTACGTATAAGCTGCAGGTATATATAAATATATTATATATGTACACTTGGGGTTTAGAATTTTTCCGTTATGAACCAAAAGTCCTGGAACCAAAGTGAAAAATATTACTTTGAATACTTTCATGAAAAATCATTTTCCCCGCGAGATATCGAGTTTTCAACTTTTCGTAAATAATAAATGTGGTATGCGAAAGCCGTATTGGTAAAGTTAACACCAACTGACTGCCGAATTAAAAATTTCTAGCCGAACATTTCATCACCTTATGAATACAGATAATGGAATTTTCAATTACGCGTATATAATATATATATATATATATTATGCTTAATACAATATTTATGTGTGCAATGTACATGTGTTTATTGTTACCAAATGCATTACGAACATACTCGAAGTAAGTGTGAACTAAATTTCAAACTATAATCTAGATTATCTTTAATGTTAATTCCATTTAAGCGAGAAATAATTAAATTCGACACGCTTGACTTCAATTTTAAGTCTTAACCTTTTTTCACGATGATATTACACAGTATTTTAATAATCAATTTTTATTAAAATTATTTTTTTTTGTTTTGTACATAGTTATATTTGCAAATTACGTAGGTACGCAATATTGTGTACAGCATTGGTTCTCCGTATAAAGGTTTCTCTGTTTATTATTAATACAAGTGTTAAAGGTCATCCGAAAAGTTAAAAAATGATAATTTAATGAATAGCATAACATTATACAATAACACCCTGTATTTATGTATACACTACAGCGCTTGTGAAATTACAAGTACCGAAAGAAAATAGAACTTAATAAACGCAAAATTAGAAAACGGTTTGGTGAGAGATCCTGTGATGAATCTGTTTTTATTTTAGTTTCATTGGTAAGATAACATTAGTATTGTGACTTGGGTTATAGGTATGAAATTCAGAAAACCCTTTAAGTGGATGTCGCTCTGCTGTATAGTAGTTTACAAATAGATTACTGTAATGAATGGTATTAATATTTGAATTCAATGATATAATATTATAGTATTTTATCAAAATTTGAATTTTCAATGCTTATTAAAAAAAAATTGTGACCATATTTTTTTAAATATTTTTTAATTTCCGTTGTGACTAGATATAATGAGCATTGTATTAAATTTTGAAGCTTGTTTAACCAACGAATACAATTGTACTGTATTTTATAAAAAAAACGAACTAAAAAGATTAAAAATTAAAAATGTCTATAAATAACTTATAAAGATTTGAAATATTTTGAAAATTTTATCATCAAGCATAGAAAATTTTAATATGCCAGAATAAACATTCAGTGAAAATTTCACGTGTCTACGGTAATTTGTTTTAAAGTTACACCAGTATTAAAAAGCAATTTTCTGAAAAATTGATTTTGCGTAAAAATTCTCATTTTTCCTTCATTTTTTTTTTTTGTTTTTCCCCATGCTTTTGAAAACTAATGAGAATTTTAAAATTTGACCTCCTCGATGCACCAACTAGATTCACTTCCCCGCCGGAAAAAAATTTAGGTTGAAAATTGAAGCACTGTTTCGACAACTTATCGTATACACAGACACACACAACAAAAAAATATATCATTGTAAAATTAATATGTTCATCGTTTTGCTCAGAATCTAAATTTATGATTTAAGAAAAACCCGTTCAGAAGGCTCAATGTAAWGAGATTCATATTAATATTTTGAAAATGACRAGCCATTCATATTTGCTTATATTTTCTGAAATTTTTTGTAATTTTTCATTACACTTGGGAAATTTAAATACCCTAAAAAAATTAACGATCTTTCCACATGAAYCCACCAAATTAAAAAGGAGGTACTGTTGATAGACTTCTCCCCTCAAGACAATCAATTCATCGTTTTATTACTATTACTATCCTATTTACTTATTGTGCTTTATGTATAAACTATAAATATAGCTTTTTAAAAATAARAATACCTTAAACTTAATAAGAGATATTTTACTAAATATCTACTACGAGAAAAATATGTCGTAAATTACTATACACTATACGACTGTAATGATGTGTAATAACTAATAAAGTTTATTAAATAAACAATATTGACACGCAACAAAACATCTCCTCATGGTTTTATTTGGTTTTAATTAAATTAATTTTAAACATAAATTTACGCGTACCGCATTTGTAGGTAACAAATTACACAATATTCTCAGGCGATGAACAGATAAATGGTATTCAAATAATTAATTGCACACTCATATAAAGAGGGCCCCTTCAGTTGTATATTATTATGTGTGCTACACAAAAGCACGGTTTTCGTTTTATGTTACTAATAATAAGTTKATGTCATTAATAAATTATTATTTTTCAATGGGTATTGGTTGCGTTTTATACTTAACTCGATGACCGCTGACATTGTTTTACACATAAAAGTATTCTGCATAGAGACTTTTTTTTTTTTAATCACGATTATTCTAAAAGTCTTATTATTATTATTATTCACATACGACATAGAAAATATTAAGGACTTTCAATACTTGCAAATTATTTCCAATAACTTAGTTGAACTATATAACGAGTACCAACATATTATTATAGTATATTTATGTGAACTAGTGATTATTAATGATAGAATTAGGTACAGAAACTGTGTAACACGTGCTCAAGGCGGAAACGCACACACACACACACACACACACACACACACATACACACACATATATATATATACATATATCTGGCACGTAGGTTTCTCTATAGTAAATTTTTGGAAAAATGTAATACATATTTAACATCCATACCATAAAACTAACAATAACGTTGTAAAGTTAATATATATTTATTTTTTTAATGTGATAAAATAAAATATGTATAACGAAAAAACTAATCATAACTATTTTTGTTCAATTAACTATTACAAATTATTTGAAATATTTGTTTTTAATACATCATAATTTAAATTATTATATTCAATGAAAACTATTGTTTTATCAGTTTGGACGCACATAATATTGTCAATTCATATTGTAATGTATGATAAAAATAAACAACTATCGACAAAATTACACTACCTTAAATAGATACAAAACACAAACCTAGGACATGATAATTTTGGCCTGTCTTGTTTTTCAAGTCGTTATATTATTCCCTATATTTTACCGAAGTATAGTATTTTGAGAGGTGTTATAACGTTAACAYGTATACGTAGGTACAATAATATAGGTACTCTAGTTCATTGCTTTTAACGAAAATTGACTTGTTAATATAAGCATGACTACGTGTGTAGTCACTATCAAAACCACTRACATGATCATATTATATTACGTAAATTATAATATTCATTAACTAATCACCAAGGAAATCCTTGCAGCATACTATCTTTTTAGATTAAGATACAACGGTCAATATTTGTTTATTTCACAACTATAAAGTGCTTTAAATATTTTGTTTTTGTTATTAATTATTTGAGAATAGAATGGACCACACTGAATATGTTTGTGTGAGAGGCCCAAACATTGTTTCAAATAAGATATTGAATYCYTTATAAAATACAGATATTTGAATAATTATAATAATTAAAAAGTTACAATTTTATTTATCATTTAAAATAACAAAATAATAGTATATACTACTTCATGAGATTTTGAGATCCTATAGATGAAATATGAGTAAGAAATGTTTAAATGTAATTTAATAAAATACTTATAAATTCAATAGTGTTTGAATATAATTTTATGATATAAAGTTAAGATAAATAAAAAAGAATTATCTATTGAATTACAATTCACTATGTAGTTGGAGTTTAACTATGAAAAAAAAAGAATGATTTAAAATAGCGTGCCATGAAGGTAAATTGGACTAATACATCAAATTCAATATAACAGTCTTTAGTTTAATATGATAAAATATTCAAAATAAGACAGTTATTTTTATAATTTATCTTAATTTTCTAATAAATATATAGTATAGTCAATAACTACACATAATAATTATTTAATTTTATAAATTATTTATTTATTACATGCACATAATTGAAGGATAGAAACAATATTATTATTGTTATTAAAATTGAAACATTAATTGAAGTCAATTGTAGATTCGAAGCGAATCACAACAATGTGTTTGTTTTATTTATGTGTCTCGATATATTTTCTAAATTCTCATCTTAAATTAAACTAAAAATTAAACAGTAATTATAAAAAAAGATAATACGAGTAAACAATGAATTAGATTTCTGTTAGAAAAAAGCATAATAAATAATATATTATGAGTATACTCGTTAACATTGATTAACTCTGTTATAAGCAGTAGAAAAAATTTACGAGAATAATACTATTATATAGTACCTACGCTATTTCGATTTATCGACATAACCTTGAAACCAAAATCGCCTTTATGATGTCTAAAGATCAAAATATAAAATAGCTGAACATAAACTAACGAATATTCAAATCATTTAATCATAATTCGTTTTAGAATACCTAAACTTTGTATTGTCACTTGTCAGCATCAGTGAGTGCCTTATTTACTTTGTCACGATATTAAATTAGTGCTCTAAGAATTAACCTGAAAAAAGTAATCAAGAGTATAATTATTAGCGGTATATTTTCCAAGACAGCCAATATATTTTATAATTATGTACATATTTTTATGCGTCCAAACAGCATCCACGGCMAATATAATCTTAGSAAGTTTCTCATTAATGTGTCAAGTGGCCCGATTACTCTTTATTAAAACAAAATGCATTATCAAGTGTGCCATGTATTGAATGAAAGAGGAGGTAGCGGTCACTGGTGATTGGCATATAGCTGGTTAACACGGCAGGATCAACATGAATACAATATTACGATAGCAATATTGTACAAATTTCATTAAAGTAATAACAAACCGTGCTTAACAATACGATTATATCACCATAAGGAACCATAATGTGAATGTGAAAGAATGTTTAGTTTATCTTATAATATTATTAGGTATACTTGCGGTGAGATGAGATAATATTATACGTCTTTATTACGGTTACCAGTAAAACTTTATGGTTTTCGATTCGAAACGAACAATACGGGAGACACATCATGTATAAATATAACTTTAACAATAAAGTGTGTATCTTTTTTTCACTTCATGACTTTTCGCACATTGCCCTTTGTTGTTTATTGGGCCGTTGGTGGACAACAAATAATCAGACACGCTTCGGTCAGAGTGGGCGTCAAACAAAAAAAAAAAAAAATTATTTTTACACTACCACCACAAACCGAACTGATGTAATAGTAGCCGGATGAAAAGGAAAAAAAACAAAAAACGAAACATCAATGCCTTTTATTTCCCATTATATTTTTCTTCAATGAATTTAATTTTTTTCGTGTAGGTACACACGATTACGAATAGTAATTACGTGGTAGACTTAAAGTGCATGTCGTGAGATTGAAAAAGATGAATAAAGAGAGAACGAAATAGAATAAAGTGAAAAGAGAAAAAAGGAAAGAATAATGGATTCACGAAAGGGTAATAAAGTTCGTTAGTTGTTTTTTTTTACTGTTTCTTTTCTCTCCTGCTTAATTCTGACGTCCAATTAAGACTGTTAGATCGACGACCTTACCAACCCTCGTAAGGCTGCCATCGGCTATAATACATAATATATACCCGTATACATCACCGGTAGACACATCTGTATATAAATAATTATATCCGTTGGGTTTTAATTAACCACCCTTCCGAGCTTCCCTTCTACTTTTTCGATCGACTCGATAACGGTAAAAAAACTTGCACAATGTCATAGTTTATTTTTGGTAAGTTGGTTTCATTGTATTCTATATTTAAGACGCAACGAAAAAGAAAGAAAAAATGACAAAATATTTAAGAACCTCTACAAAATCACCAATCCCGATTTCCAAACATTAAAACTTCGTGGAAATATCAATCGATCGTATGAAATAAATCTTGGTAAAATTGGCTATTTTTTAAATATATACAGTGTTAATACAACATTGTAAATTATGAATACAATTGTATGAATATTATGTAAAAATGATATTTTTTCATATTTTTCTTAATTATTRGTATAAATTATTAAAAAATGATTATTTTAAGTTATGGACTATCACGACTAATATAGTAATATGCTATATTCATCAATTTTTTCTAATATTGGTAAATAGGAACCCCCATCCTGTAAATATACCACTTCTATTAAATTATTTTCATATTTTGTTTATTCTCTCAACAGCGTCATTACGGTTCTTTCGTTATCTAGCTGTTGCCCTCCTTTGTATTATAACAATACAACGATGGACCACATCTTGAATGTGCCTCCAGATAGTGTGCAAAATGAAAATGACAACAACGAATTTTAGTAATAAACATAAAAATGTGATGMCCCCTTYGAAGCTTAAAGTATATAATTAATAAAATATATATATATGTGTGTGTATATACTCACGTCGAAGGTCCAACACGACGGATGCTTGTCGAGGATCCATTAGCTTCGTGTTTGATGCCTGGCACGTGAACACCGACCCGAAGTCGTGGCGGCTGACAGACGGCCAGTGCAATCTGTTTTCGATTGCGTTTATCGAGTTGTGTTCACACTCGTCGTCCACTACTTGGTCGTTTTTTAGCCACACGACTACCGGTGGAGGATTTCCTAAAAAATTATAACGGTCCCATGAGCCAAATTTCGTATTATTAGGTAGATAAATGATATGAGTGTTAATAAGTCCATTATATTATGTACGTATGTTAAATAGGATAAAACCATATTTCCAGATTATGTAATATGCTTATTTCTTACAGTGTACAATCTACACTATTATAATGTAAGAAACAACATTGTGTTTATGCGTCGCAGAGATCGTTTACGAATTAGTTTTTTCGATTTGGAAACGTTGCTGTAAGCTTTGAACAAGTGAATCCATGGCATAACGTGTTTAATTGTATTTTTATTACTATAGGAATGCATGAGAAAGGTACCCATACCTTTGAAAGTTGACATATCTGTCTATTTGGAAATGTGATATTTCTCATCCGTCTAGTTAAATTCGAGAAATGTTTAGTAATAATAATAATAATAGTAAAATGTTAGTTATTCAGAAGAATTTAGTATTATAGTTAAATACAAGCAAAATGGCAAAAGGTTTTAAAAAAAAAAAAAAATTCGCTTATTTGAAAACAAGTCCAACACAAACGAATTCGTTTTTAATGCATGCAATTTCATCAACTAGTTCATTCAAAAATAAAAGTATTTTTGTGTGATTTAAATTGATTATAGTATAATATAGACTTTAAAAAAATACAATACTCCAATGTACCTTTTATTTTCAAAACTAATATTTTAAATTAATTTAATATTGAGAAGTTGTAATTTCACTCTCATAACTATTAATTTTGAACAATTTTGATAAACTCTATGACAAAGGAAGCTATTTTATGTGTACAAATAATAAATCGTATAAGTGTATATATAGTATATATAATATGATAACATTCAGAAACTGAACTACACAGGTCTACATTTTAAAATTGATACAATGATACTGGATTCTGAAAATAAACTTTCAGACCAAAACCTTTGATTAACTATCTCTATTCAATTTAAGTCTTATAAATACGTGAAACAAAACTACCCTCCAAATATTTTAGGAACTTTCTAGAAGATACTTCTTATCAAACTATATTTGAGTATATTACTTACCTAATACCTTTGTCTTTTTTGAACACGTATAATTATTTTCATTAAMAATTTTTAATTTTATAAAACATATTCTACGATTGATTTTTTAGGTTAAAGTATAATTTATTTTACTGTAATGACCCTTATTATTACTTTTATAGTAAATAGTTTATAATAGTATAAACTTTTAAAGCGATTATTTAGAAGAATAAACGGTAAAAGGCATTAGTACATTTGAATCCCGCATTTTATAAATTATTTGTATTTTACAAAACAAGAAGTTATCATTATTTTATTTATAATTTTCTTATAACTAACACGAAGTACTAGTATTTTAACTATAAAATAATAGTGAATTGAAAATATTAAATAATACTTATCATAATATGGTATTAATAATCATAGCACGGCGTTTCGTATATACAATAAAAGTATATCAATGCCAACTTAACAAAATTGCTGACTTAATTATTATTAGTATTATTTTTAGCATATATTTAYACATCAAACACAACTAGATACACGGTGTATTTTAGACCAAATATTTGTATATATTTTTAATGCTTTGAAAGTATTCTTTGATTTAATTTGTTTATAAAAATTATTGTAATTGATAGTTGCAATTAATACCCTAATAATGTTATATTGTTTTTAATTTGTACATCTTTTAATAATATTTCAGAATAAGTAATATAATATAATATTATGTTATGGACTTCATAAACAAAATGGATTTTTGTTAGATTTGACAATTGATCTTTCACTATATATTTTATATATTATATTTATGTATACGGGTTATGATAGAGTATTGAAAAAATAAAATAAAATGAAAATAAAACCTTTTATTCTCTTCTAAAAGGAGAAGATTACGGTACCACGTGCCTCAGCTGTTACCACCGACTTTCGATTGGGCAAATAAATAGTTGAATTAATATCGGCGATGAAAAGATGTATAGAGTTCCGAAGAATAGAGGTAAGGGATGACAGAATTGAAGAGGAACCAATGAAGTTCAATCGAGAAAAGACCCTAGAAATTGGATATTTAACTTGAACCTTCTGCGCTTTATAAATTAAGTGCAATTTATTCGGACAGGTGATATAAACATTTTTTTTTTTTTTTTTAGCAATCTACCATCAGCACCAACTCATAAATTATAGTTTACCTATCTCCTTTTTTTTATCGATGCCTTTTTCTGAAAATGTCTTTGTGGACAGATCATAGGGATGGTCCAGTGCGTTTACCTCAAAATAATAATGTATAATCTCCCAGCGTTATTTTGAGCACATCTTTCACGTGTTACAACGTACAACTACACCTAAGTACGAATCACTATCCAACAACCCAATACAATACAGCGTTAATTTTACTATACATTCTACATTCGTGTTTTTTTGCGTGTGTAATAGTTATTTATCCATTTCAACGGAAATGCAACGTCCTCGTTAAAGATTCATATGTATTGTTTTTATTATTTATGTGTTTCCTACACCGTAACCTCTGAAGGATCCACGACGGTAAACCAATGTTGGCGTATGTTATAATTACCTACCTATTTATTATGTTCTATCTGTACTGTAGTACGCCCAGACAAATGATTCAATTTTATCCCATCGGGAGAAAATTACAAACTAAACTTTGCCAGTTTCATCCAACATGCGCATCTAAGACACAGGTAATAAGTAGTACCGAAAACAATATACATAAATACTGCCTAGGTGCGGCCGTGAGTCGAGATAACTACGTTTATAATTAACTGACCTCACGCTGACACAATAGTGTAGTGCATGCGGTAACAGTCTGTATAGTGTTGGTTAGGGCTGAAACACGAATCTGAAAAATTGTGGGATCATATCGATTTTAATATAGGCAACTATTTATGTACTTACACGATTCCAAAAACTAAATTTGTATATTATAAATAGTTTCTCTTGGTTTAAAATGCATTATTGTGCCATACAGAAAAACATGTATAAACATGTATAAACAAATTTAATATTATATTATTTTTGTAACGTACATATCGTTTTGTGCGATAGAATACTATGGCATTTTAAAAACACAACGTTTGGAAAAAAAAAAACATGATTTTATTTTGCACTTTCAATATTGTTGGATTTGTGCCATATTTGAATTTGATTTTATTTCCTTGTAATTCGAGATATACTTTGGAATAAGGTATAATAGATTTTTAGCGAATTCCATATGTTTAATTTCATACTAATATGTTTTTATATACTATGACAACATTATTATCAAACAAGTTCAYACATTTAATTATATATGCTAAAATTAAATAAAATCTTACATATCAATAAGTATAATGAAGCAACTTGCAATTATTTCTTATTTAATAAAAATATAATCATTAAAAACTCGACAAATATTAACTTTAATTAAATACTAAATCATTTATCTATTTTAAAATTATTATATTAATTGTTTATACATAATTTATATTATAAATATACTTGACAATGATTCTCTTAAGTCCCTTAACGTTTCAATTATTATTAGGTATACTAATATTTATTAATACCATGAGTTATTATAATAATCTAAAATGACGAATTTCAAATAAATTGAATACCAACGTTTCATAAGAAATCATACGGAATCGTGTATATATGTAAATATGTTATGTATATAGTATATGAAATTTGTCGAATTGTATATAAATATTCAGTAAAATACTAACGGTTCCGCAATTTATGCGATCGATTTTTACAGATCTGCTGTAGTAGTCCAATAGAAACCATTCAAAGGAATATTTACTATATACAATGCGATTCTGTTTTTATCGATGATAATGGCGACGGTAGGTTTAAGGTTCGGGCCGTCTTCGTTTAGATTTTTTTTTACCGTCTTTGAGGTCTGACATCAACACATAAATGTGCCCCTTTGAAATGTATACAAAAATTCTCCCTTTAATCGCAACCATACAGTAGGTTTACCGTTATAACATAGCTAACATATCTATAAATATATGATACATTACTAGTGGCCTTCATCGGCATTAACCATGTCAAAGATTGTTTTTATTTTTTAAATATATTCGTAAAAATTATTTATCTAATTAAAATAATAATGATAATAATAATAATAATATAAAATAATGTGATACTAATGAAAAACATTTAGATAAACAAAATATTTTTTTTTTCATATGCTGACAAAAACCATGTTTAAACTACCCTTTAGCTACCTAACTATACATGAGTTAAACAAATAAATTGTAAACAYATTCCAAGTATCAAGGAATCTATTGATATAACTCATATTATATCGGGTCTGGCATGAAGGGCTACTATTCAAATTATTATTTTTATCCACTCCRTTATTCCTCTTACTCAAATCTTTTCTATCAAACGTACTTTTTCAGTAAGATGTGAAGATGAAACTTCTGACCCACATCCTATTAAAGCAGGCGTCCCTCAAGGAAGTATTCTTTCCCCGACTCTCTATAATATATGTACAGTAGATCTACCACAATCTATAAAAACTACTATAGCTACCTTCGCCGATGACACAGCCATAATTTCAACTAACTCCGAAATAGCCACCACTACAAACAACTTCCAAGACCACCTAACCCAACTACAAGATTGGTTCAGCTTATAGAAAATTAAGATTAATAAAAATAAATCCACTCACATCACTTTTACCCTCAGGCCTACAACAATTCCTCCAGTTTACATAAATAACCAAACAATTCCCATTGCCGACTCCATTAAATACCTAGGACTCCTCCTCGACAAAAGACTAACTTGGGCGAATCACATCAAAGCTAAAAGAACTTCCCTTAATCTCAGGCTTCACAAATTAAGACCACTTCTTCGATCTAAAATCTCTTTAAATGATAAAACACTAATATATAAACAAATATTACGTCCAACAATGACTTACGGAATTCAACTGTGGGGTACACTAAAAATTCAAACCTAATCAAATTCCAAGCGTTCCAATCAATATA